AATAGTCGAGTATTACATGTTGGTATCTTAGGAATAGTGGAGTATTACATGTTGGTATCCTAGAAGTAATGCAATTTTACAAATTGGTATCTTATGAATAGTCGAGTATTACATGTTGGTATCTTAGGAATAGTGGAATATTACATGTTGGTATCTTAGAAATAGTCGAGTATTACATGTTGGTACCTTATGAATAGTGGAATATTACATGTTGGTATCTTAGGAATAGTGGAATATTACATGTTGGTATCTTAGGAATAGTCGAGTATTACATGTCTGAAATAGTCTTACATTAATCAAGTAGTTTAGTATATACTCTAGCTGTTACATGGTGGAACTTTGTATGATTGGTGTTAATAATTATTTTAAAAACCAGGAAATTTTGAAAGTAAATATATTTCATCAGTATTTTCTTGGTTTACTGTCATTCAGTTGCACATTTAATTTTTGCTATATCTTCTTGTCCAATAAAATGTGTGTTAATATATTATTTTTTGTCGTATTAATCTTTTACCATTTTGCTATATCTTCATATCCAATAAAAGGTATCAAAAGGCTATTTTTTGTGATATTCATCTTTTACCATTTTGGTATATCTTCATATCCAGTAATATATCCACCTGTAAACAGTACACCTATAAATTTTACAGAATATTTATGATTGTCCCAAAGGATAGTTTTTATTTGCTAAGAAACTGTCGTCCTTTGAATATATAACTGACCAATTCTTGTTTCTTTCATGATGGGCCTTCACTATCTAATGTTTTATTATTACATCTGTTCCCACATATGATGTGAATACGTACAACTGAAGAACAACTTTCAATAGGCCAAGTTTAAATACTTTTGTATAGAGCAGATTATATACTATCAGTGTAGATTAATTACAGTGGTTTAAGAAGTAATATATAGCAGCTAACAAGTCCTAACTCGTGCAGAGAAGAACAATGGAATGTAGTGGGAAATTTGGGAACAAAATGAGAGTGTGACAGGCGTTGTGAATCGAAACTTCAAAAATAAGGATACCCTCATATTAATTAAATTTGAAACAGTTAGTATATATAAACTGGAAACTTCTGATCAACTTGTTTCTTGTTACTGGATGGTTAAGTGAGAAGATGTTGGAGGTATAACAGATAAAAACTTTAACTACTTGTTTGTTGTTAATGAACAGGTTAAGTAGGAAGATGTTGGAGATATGGCAGATAAAAACTTTTAACTATTTGTTTCTTGTTACTGGATAGGTTAAGTGGGAAGATGTTGGAGGTATAACAGATAAAAACTTTAACTACTTGTTTCTTGTTACAGGATGGGTTAAGTGGGAAGATGTTGCAGGTATAACAGATAAACACTTTTAACTATTTGTTTCTTGTTACTGGATAGGTTAAGTGGGAAGATGTTGGAGATATAACAGATAAACACTTTTAACTATTTGTTTCTTGTTACTGGATAGGTTAAGTGGGAAGATGTTGGAGATATAACAGATAAAAACTTTAACTAATTGTTTGTTGTTAATGAACAGGTTAAATAGAAAGATGTTGGAGGTATAACAGATAAAAACTTTTAACTACTTGTTTCTTGTTACAACAACAAACAATTAGTTAAAGTTTTTATCTGTTATATCTCCAACATCTTCCCACTTAACCCATCCTAATGAACAGGTTAGGTGGGAAGATGTTGCAGGTATAACAGATAAAAACTTTAACTACTTGTCTCTTGTTACTGGATAGGTTAAGTGGGAAGATGTTGGAGATATAACAGATAAAAACTTTAACTACTTGTTTGTTGTTAATGAACAGGAAGATGTTGGAGGTATAACAGATAAAAACTTTAACTAATTGTTTGTTGTTAATGAACAGGTTAGGTGGGAAGATGTTGGAGGTATGGCAGAAGTAAAAAAGAAACTGAAACAAGCTGTTGAGTGGCCCTTAAAACATCCAGAAGCATTTTCTCGAATGGGAATTCGACCTCCTTGTGGGTTGCTTATGTATGGCCCTCCTGGTTGCTCCAAGACTATGATAGCCAAGGCAATTGCCACGGAAAGTGAATTAAATTTCATTGCTATCAAGGTATGAACTTGCTGTTTGCTGTGTGTAGAACTTACAAATTGTGTTAAAGTTTATGTTCCTAAAAAAAGTAAAATTGGTTGTTTTAAAATAATTGCACAGAGATATACAAAGGGTTATCTAAGCATACCTGTCCCTAATTTTGAACTAATAGACTAAAGGAAAGGCAGCACCAACTCGTGGACTACTCATCTATGATTGAATACCAAGTCTTGACTGACACTCTTGTAGTTCACCCACGGAGAGTAGGAAGTTTTTGCAGAATCTAAGTTCAAATAAATGTATTTATTAAACATTTTCCTCCTCCTAGTTTGAATTTTTCTGTAGATAACTTTTTCCTTGTGTTATGCGGTTTGATTATGTGAATCGATTGTAAAACTGATGCCATTTGTTTGCTCTTTTTGAAAGGGTCCAGAACTGTTTAATAAATGGGTCGGTGAATCAGAGCGAGCTGTTCGAGAATTGTTCCGTAAGGCTAGATCAGTGGCTCCATCTATCATATTCTTCGATGAAATAGATGCTTTAGCTGCTGAGAGAGGAGGGTATGTTTGTTGTTTTTTGTTTTTTTTGAGTAACTGTTAAAAAACCTCAGTTTTGGTGATTCCAATCTTCTTGTTTTGAAAATTAAAAGAATAATTTTTTATTTATTGTTATTGATTTGGTTAACAGCTTTGTTCTGAAGTAAATTACTGTGTAAAAACTGGAGTTATTTAAAACACTGTCCAAGGTTAACTTTTCTAATCATTTCAGGATTGAATCAGATTATTTCAAAACCATAATTTCAAACTTAAAATGATATTTTTGGAAAATTTGTATGATTTGTGTAACTTTAAAGTTATTCTGAAGACATAATTGTATCTTTTATTACATGAAAATTTGTAGTTTCAAGGAAAAGTGCACTGAAATGCACACTTAAATTTTTCATCAGATTATCCATGACTGTGTTATTTTAAGTTCTAAAAAATGCATGAACCTTTGTATTTTCTGAATTCTTGTTGTTTTGGAGAAAACAAAATATATATATATCTTAATTTGCCAGATAATATATATATATATATATCTTAATTTGCTCAGATAATATATATATGTATCTTAATTTGCCCAGATAATATATATATATCTTAATTTGTCCAGATAATATATGCATATATATATCTTAATTTGCCCAGATAATATATGCATATATATATCGTAATTTGCCTAGATAATTCCTTATTATTCATAGTAAATAAGAACATATATAATTTCATCCAATTTCTTTTCAGGCATGTTGGGCAATTACATTAAGAGTAAAAAAAACAAAAAACTTTTTGACACAGTGACAGGTAAAATCTTTATTATTAGCTACAGCTGACTGTTGAAAGGTTGAAATTCAAAGAATTTCTGCATATATATAAAATATTAAAATACACAAACGATCAACAGTTGTAAAAGTCACTACACGTTTCAAGGTGGTTTCACGTTATCTTCCGGAGTGTGAAAAACAGTTACTGTGTGCTATATAAGAACAAAAGCCATGGTCATGTGACTACTAGTTTACAGTTCAATAAAGACCACACCATCTACATACTTTTCTGATTTTCTAACCCTTCATCCTTATTTAAAATCAAGCTGTTTTTGCTGTGTTTCATTATTTCAATGGTTTCTTGAATGACTTTTACAACTGTTGATTGGTATAAATAAAGATTTTAATTGTGTATTATAAAATGTTGTTCATTTGTGTATTTCAATATTTTACAGCTGACTAGTTTTAGTAACGTAGATACAATCATCAGGTAAATACTAGCCCTGATGATGGTAACTGTGTTACCTAAACTAGTTGGATCTAACTGATAATCAACATTGTACCTTTCATTGTGCCAAAACATGTGAGCTTTGTTACAGTTCATGGGCGATGTTTGTGTTACGGAAATAATGAACCCAATGTTGTGACTGTCTGGGGAATGTAATCATGTTACACAGAATCACACAGTGTGTTACAGAAATACTGGGCCTAATGTTTTTACAGACTGGAGAAGGTAGTCATGTTACACAGTATTCTGGGCCTAATATTGTTAGAGTTTGGAGACTGTGTTCATGTTACACAAAATAAAATATGTTACAGAAGAACTGGTCCTAATGTTGTTACAGTCTGGAGAAGGTGGTCATGTTACACAGAATAACAAGGTGTGTTATAGAAATACAAGGGAAGTGACTGGGATATACAGATTCACAAAGTGTATTATATGATATTAAATATTTTAGAATAATATGACCATTTCAAAAATCTTTGTTCTGTATCTCTGTAAAATATTGAAGTGGTACTAACTAACTAATAATAGCTGGAGACGGCTTGAATGGGTAATGAAGAAAAACTTTAATATAACAGCAAATGTACGACGTTTCAACAAGGTTTTGTCATCATCAGGTACTTTTTCTTCATTACCCTTTCAAGCCGTCTCCAGCCATTATTAGTCTCAAAGTGGGTTCCTCGTCATCGAATTTAACTAACTAACTGTTTCAACCTTTCCATAAGTAGTTTAATATACAAATCTGATTATAATGTTGCTACCAGCTAGTATCATTCTGTACAGAGTTCAGTGTAAAGAGTTGATTATAATGTTTCTACCATCTAGTATCATTCTGTAGAGAGTTCAGTGTAAAGAGTTGATTATAATGTTGCTACCAGCTAGTATCATTCTGTACAGAGTTCAGTGTAAAGATCTGATTATATTGTTTTTTTATATTTGAAACTCAGCTCTTGTAGTTATGTGAAACTTTTGTCAGTTAAAGATATTTTATAGCATCAATCATTTAGACATTCAGTATTATTTATGAAATTGAAATTTTAAATGTACTGGTCAATGTATATCTATTTAATTAAAAAATAATTTTTCCCTCATAAGAAGAATGGAATCTGTTATGACTTAAAAAGTATCATGATTTATTAATCAGCAAAGTATTTTTGATAAATATACTACTGTATAGATATATTAAATGTTTGTATCTCTCTTTGTTGTTGTCTTTTCATAGATCAAGTGGAGGTAGTAATGTAGGAGATAGAGTGCTAGCCCAACTGCTGACAGAACTTGATGGCATAGAGCAGTTACAAGGTGTTCTAATGGTAGCTGCTACCAATAGGCCTGATATGATTGACAAGGTACACATTAATTTATAAGTAAAACACATCAAAACTGACTTGTCTAATATGAAAAAATAAATTCTGTTGCTTACTACTTTAAAATATAACAGGTTATCCATTTTTGTATACTTTTTTCCAGTACAAAGTAATTTTATAGAGATCAAAATTATTCTTATTCAGGCCTTACTTCGACCAGGTCGTCTGGACAGTATAATATACGTCCCACTTCCGAATGAAGTGACAAGAAGGGAAATATTCCACATAAGACTAAAAAAAATGCCCATTAGTGAGGGAGTCGACATAGAACTTTTAGTGGAAAGAACTAATGGATACTCTGGTGCAGAAGTAAGAATCATCATTTGTTTAATTGAAACAATATCTGTTATGTTATAGATTTTAGTGCTGTATTACAACTTGTTAATTAACAGATAACACAATTCTAAAGTCAGAAAACACTAGATTATCCAAGTGTGATTATAGATTTTATTGTTATAGTACAACTCGTTAGTTAACAGATTACACAGTCAGGAAACACTTAGATAATCTGGTGTGATTATAGATTTTACTGTTATAGTACAACTTGTTAATTAACAGATTACACAGTCAGGAAACACTAGATTCAAATAAGGTACTTACCTCATCTCACAAGATTAGCCATTCTCGTTCAGTGCTGCCCTCTATATGCGAAGTTTTTCTTTACACATGCCACAAGTCTTCTGCTCCCCCGTATTAGAATTTCAAAATTCTAACATGTCTCTCATGCAAATGATCATACATCATCTGTTCACCAATAGGAGCATGACATGCTCATGTAATGCATGTGATTCCCTCTACACTCCTCTACCAAAGTATTACTTATCGTTTGGCAGCGCTTGTGTTCAGATGTGCTCTTTTGTTTATTTAATGCTTCACGTTGAACTTTGTTTCCTCATGAAGTGGTTGTTTTTTAAATTAATTTGCTTTCATTCAGCCTGTTTCTTCTATTAGTATTTGTCAGTTAATTCTAGTCATCTTATTTTCTGTAGTCAAATTTGGTGAACCTTGTTGGTGCAAACAATTCCAAATTAATGTTACCACTTTATGATTATACCAGCAACCAACATTTTTTCTAAGGCCTTAGTTGTGGGCAACCTGACAGTGGATTTATCTGTTTTTATATGTCAGGAGATCGATTGTTACACGGGACAATCTTTGTCCCCGGACATAGCCTGGGCTCCTCCAGAACAGGCTGACGAAGACTTCGATCATCTTTTTCCACCTCCAATTTTGCCGTTTATTCCCATTCCCAACCCAATGAGTGTACTAGGCATAATGCAGTCTTTATGGATTTTGTGTCTCAGGTTTGTGACATTTTATCCCTTTCTTCTATTTCTTATGCACCTCGACCTTCTTTACTGCATGAACAATCTTCCCAACCTTTTTTGGTTTTCCTCCCTTAAGTGTGGGGATTGGCATGCCATGTCCCTGATGGACTACAGATTAGTGTGGGGATTAGCATGCCATGCCCCTGATGGACTACAGATCAGTGTGGGGATTAGCATGCCATGCCCCTGATGGACTACAGATCAGTTCATTAAGTGTGGGGATTAGCATGCCATGCCCCTGATGGATTACAGATCAGTGTGGGGATTAGCATGCCATGCCCCTGATGGACTACAGATCAATGTGGGGATTAGCATGACATGCCCCTGATGGACTACAGATACAGATCAGTGTGGGGATTAGCATGCCATGTCCCTGATGGACTACAGATCTATTTGCATTTTCCTACCATTGTGCTGACTACCCATTTTTAGACCAGCGGTTGTTAGGTTCCTTATTGCTTATATAGTGTGCAGCTCCCAAATCATTTGTCAATCTTACCCATGCCCAATATTCTCACTTGTATCTTACCCTTACAAATATATTACAGTATCTTTCTTCCATATACCTCCTATCTGAGGATCTCCACAGAAATATTGAGGAGTTTTCTGGAGATACCCTTGCCCTTAACTACTCCACCTTGGCCTGCATGTCATCTTCGGCTCTGGCATTACATATTTGGTTTTTTGTTGTTGTTGGGAACTTATAGGTCATGATGCCGTATTAGTTCAGGTCCGTTTACCTTTGACATATTAGGGGATTTACTTATGACCCAAATTCTGAGATGTTACATTTTTGATACGATCCTGGAAACTCTTAGAGCCTCGGGTGACATCGGTCCAACAACAATCCACCCTTATGAATATCGTAGCCCATTTCTCTCAGTCAGAGCCTCATATGCCCCCAATTACCATTTTCTGTCCTTCCCCTTCCCAATCCTTACCCCTCCATTCTACTTGGGGTACTTCTTTTCCTCAATGATGCACCCCCCAGTCACCACCAGTACTGGTGATTAGCCAGTGGGTTCTGGTTTAGTGGGTCCTGGCTGTTCAAGTTTCTTCATTGCTGGCTCTTCTACATCAGTGATCAGTGGGTGCTTCAGGTTCTGTCAAAAGGATTTGTTGTCCAGCTTCTTTCCCCACCTCTCGTCTCTCCTTACCCCCTTTCCTTCATTCCTCCTCGAAATCCTGTAACCAGCCAGCATCTGTCAGAAGCAGTTCGGAAATTGCTCTTGCAGCAGGCCATTGAACCTGTTCCCATCCTTACCAGGGTTTTTATTCCCACCTTTTCGTTGTCCCCAAGAAACCAGGGATTGGTGGCCTGTAATAGATTTATCTTACCTCAACCAATTCATTTCACTACCTGGGTTCACCATGAAGTATTTTCTTACCCTGAGATGGGCATTTTCTCTGGGGTTGTGGATGACCAAAATGGATGTCTCCAATGCGTACCTACATATACCGATATCACCTCAGTCTCGTCCCTGTCTTCAGTTTGTCCATCTCTGGGTGGTTTATCAATTTTGGGCTCTCCTCTTTGGACTTGCCTTTGCACGTAACATATTTTGTCGAGTAGTCCGAGCCTTTGCTCGATATCTCTATGTTCTGGGGCTGTGATTCCATTATTACGTGGATGATTGGATTCTTCTGGCTCATTCCGAACAGGAATCAGCCAGTCATTCTCAGCAGCTCCCTTCTGTGGCGGCTCCAGTGGGCTGGCTGATCAAACTGGAGAAGTCCTTCTTCAGACCCACTCAATACCTTGTCCATTTGGAGGTCTTTTTCAACATTCATATCAGTCAGACCCAGCATTAACCATTCTTGTGAGTTTGGGAAGATTTACAACATCTTTTGGAATCACACAAAGAGAATATCTTTAAGTACTTAAGTTGAAAACTAACTTGTGAAACTTTGTAGAACATTTTATAACGATTAATATATTTTATAAAACCAAAACTTTTATTCAACATGAGAAAAATCTTCAGCTTAAAATCCGTTACATTTCCCCACACATTTCTTTTTGTGTATTAATTTATTTATGAATTTCCTGCTAAATCTGTAAATCTTATAGACTTAGTTTGAAAATAAAAATTAAGAAGATACGCAAAAGTAGATCAGTTGTTATAATTTATTACTAGTTCTTTTATGAGAAACGGGTAACATTTTTATGTCCTTTACTTTTTTTTAATACTTAATTACTTAAACGTTGTCAGTAGAAATTGCATAAACTATAGTTTAAGGTAAAAATTAATTTTCCACCAGAATTATAATTCATTTTGATCTACTCTTAGTTTCAACTAAGAAGTTACTTGTATCCTACTTTCATCTAAAAACCGTTGTTTTCTAGATTGTTGCCGTTTGTCATGAAGCAGCAATGAAAGCACTTGAAGAAGACATTACAACTCAAAGTGTAAAATGGGAACATTTTTTAAGTGCTTTAAGAACTGTTCAACCTAGGTCATCACCTGAAATGATACGTTTTTATGAAGAATATTATTTAGAAAAAGATGTACGGACTTTTCAATAAAAGTATATTGTTACCAAGTTTAGTTATTTCCTGGAGAGTTTTTACACAGTTAAGTTTCAAGAAAAAGAATATTTATTTGGTAAGGCTCAAGTTAGTCCATCCTACTCTGTCATGTATAACACTGTTGCAATCCAGGCTAATGGCTTATCTCTTAATCCATAAGAATTGTGGTAAAATTATAAAAGTTGGCACAATTAGCTTTTGGGACATACTGAACATTTTCAGTTATGACCAATAGAAAAGCTTCCTGGTAGCAAAAATTAACACTTTTCTAAGAATTCTGCCTATTCCACACAATGCATTGACAATCCATGATAAAACAGCATTTCACAAAGTTGATCAAAGACATACACAAATGTCGATCAACATAGAATGCTAAAGAAAATTACATAAAATACATGTATATGGTTTGAAAAATAATTGTACAAACTGTTATAAATGAGGAGGGGGTATTTCAAGGATTTCTAGCAAACCATACACGTTCTGGCCTGGAGGTTCACAAATCTCTTATGTAAGTGTGTTTCCCAACTGGTGAGATAATTGGGCCACAAAAATGAGACTGACAGATCTTACACAGAATGCAAATATTTATTGAGCTCCAGTGGAGAGACCGCAAAAAGATCACGATACAATACAATGTGTTAACATGCAATACAATGTCCAGGGAATGGGAAGAGATGACGATAGGTGTATTTTAAACGTAAAACTGGCAGGAGCTAATGAAGAACAAAGGTTACTGGTGGTCTGTGTGTCCCCCATAAACTAAACCATCAAATAGAATCAATAAACAATAGATTATATTCAATAAATAATAAACAAGTAAAATACAATTCTAACAATATAAGAGCCAATGTTCCACTGGAAACATTAAAAACCATCCACCACAGTGTATGTAAGTAATCTGGTCTTATGGTACTTACCCTAAATTAAGTGAAAATAACAGTACCTTTAACTAAACGATAACTAACATTTGCAGGAGGACTTTAAGAGTTCCTGTAAAACCAGATCAAGTACAATAAAATAGACAATAAGCGCCTAAAGTTACACACTCCTAGTGTTAGTTATTGATATATGTCAAGCTAATACGTTGATGAAGAATCTTCAATAAAATCTAGACAAACCTATATAGAAATCTGCTGAAAAATCTAGACAAACCTATGTTTTTCCATATCAGTGTCTATAATATATTAGTTTGCTTGCTTGTTTGTAATTATGCACAAAGCTACATCACAGTGGACTAAAAATTTTCTTATTTTATAAAATGTTATGTGTCGCGTACAGCATTCAGCGGAAATACTGACTACTAATCACTCTTTACACACAGTATCCTAGCCTAAACTTTTTTGGTGCCTCAGGGCAACAGTCTCGTCTCTCCTCCCGATAATACGCCGCTGCCAAGCTCTATTGAAAATATAGTGTTTAAACGCACGCTTTAGATGTCTTAATTTTAAGGCCAGTGCAAAAAACAACACAACAAAATCAATGAAATGTACACACAAAATCACGTATATGTAACTGTAAGCAGAAATGTTAGAAGATTTTCCGATTTTAAAATTGGTGTTGGGACTGGTAAAAAAAATAACAAATCTGAGCAGTTGATCGCGTTAGTGAGCATAAAACATGATAAAATTGTTTGGATATTGTTACGACAGCGGAAGTCACGCGACGCTGGGAGCATGCGTGCTGGAGTTTCTAGAAGGATCGTGACTTAGCGGGCATTTCA